GTGCTAGCAATGAATCCATTTTTATGTAATTCTACTAGGCATTATGTATTGGAAATGATGGCAGTGAATTCTTAATTGACTTTATCTATAGCATGTGTTAGGAATGAATCCATTTTGATGTAATTCATATTTGACATTATCTAATCATCTATTGCAAGTGATGGGAGAAAACCATAATCCGTTAACAACTACATAATCCGCTAACAACTACATAATCCATTAACAACTACATACTTCGTTGATACGAACAACATTAAAATAAAACCCTTAGCTAAGTTTATACATAACACGTTCACAAAGAGGATCTCATAATCAATTCGGCCCCTTTCCTTTTGCATTTCCTTCGAAGCTTCCCTTGCCCCTTCGGATGGTCACGTTCACAGATATCTCGAAGACCGCTTCTTCAACTAGTCGAACCTGAGATTCCAACATACGAGACACAGCTTCAACAGCTTCGTTCGTCGCAGCTGTAACTGACTTGGAGCTAGCATTGCTGGATTCACCGTTTGACTGTCCTTCTACAACCCACTCCCAATAGCCGCATTTATTACTGCAACATGTGAATAATCTCCCTTTCTTAGCAGTCGGCTTTTCGACCTCAAAACACTTCTTAAATCCATTCTTACACAATGGGCATTGTTGTTTAATTGGACAATCAGTGAAGAAGTGCCCTTTGCCTCTACAGCTATGGCATATTCCGGAATTCTTCCCGACCATTCTAACATATAATTAAACCATACAGAATGTCAAAATGTTTCCCGTTGGATAAAGGATTAAGAACGTAATTTCATATAAATCACACCATTTAAGTAGCCACAACGGAAACACCGAAAACCACCACAAGGCAAAATTCATACAATTCTCACCACCAATTTCATATAATTAGCACTAATTTCACTGCCAGAACGAAAACAACAAAAACCACAAAGCAAAATAACTATAATTCTCGCCAATTTCATAAAATTCCCACCAATTCAGCTGCCTGAACGGAAACACCCAGAACCACAGAGCTCAAATTACATTTAGCAACAAATAACAGTAAAAACACGAAGCTCAAACCATACTCGGAGGCAAATTACAGTCCAGCAACGAAAAACCCGGAAATGTGAGTATAATTCTCACCAACATTTTTAATGTCCAAGAACAAACCTCAACTTCGGGACTTCTATACAATGCAAATATCTATAGCAACGGTAAAACGTGAAGAAATCGCAGGAACAAAAATATAGCAACAACCAAAACATTTGCTTACTCTCTAGCTA